TTGACGCTTCACTTGAAGGAAAAAAAAATACAAAGGAAGCACGTACACCTCACATCAAATAATTTTTTGTTGCGACTTTTTTTTTACAATCGCATCAAGGTGGATGCAAACCGATGTGGTTTGTGTGTAGGCCGTTTTCAGGTTTGCTTCGAATATGAATGAAGCGACAGGTAATATTTTAAAATTTTAAATAAACCTGTTGCAAAAACCGAAGGGGTAATCGGTGAAAATTGATTGATGTTTTGCAATGGTGTCAAGCGCCAATATGTCATCATCAACACTGGTCAACTGACGCATTCAATTTTAGTTAAAATCTTCAAATTGTATGCGAGCAGTGTACTAAGTGTAAGCTACAAAATGGAAATACACTATTTATTTCGTCAAAATTATTATTATTCGTTTTCCCCAATAAAATGGTTTAAATTTGCCTCCTAACAAAAACCATTTGAATTGATTGTTTGCTCTCGTGATATCTATGAGATTTTGATATACGTTATAATTTAGTTGATAAACCAAACCGGGTCATTACATAAATCGTGCCGGCATTTTAGAGATTTCACACCGATCCGTTGAATAAAGACCGAAATAAATTAATTCTAACAAAAAATTGTATTAGGAAATGAAACGTTCTTTTTTCGTAATTCACTAAATGTTATCTCGTCGCTTGTTCGACGCTCAGAATCAATTTCGTTGTGATGAAATTTGGTAATCGTCACCCAAAACTCGACCTATTTCAATTTGACACCCGATAGCAAACGAAGCGCGTCAACTGTAACCTCCAGAGCACACAAAAAAGTTGTTTGTCAAATCAGCAAAGTTGCTCTTTTTTTTGCGAGCAAAGCGGTCATTGGGCTCCTAACGTGATCTTATGCTTCATAGAAAGTAGTAAAATTGAATCGAATTCAACAGTTCAAAAAATCAACATTTTTTTAGAATTATCGAAATATTCGACCTTCAAATTTAACAAAATTTGTTATGAAAGAGCAATCAATGGAAGTTGTAAAACCCAAAATCGATAACTTTGTTTGACATTTTACCTACAGTCAGATGTTCCACTGCATTTATATTGAAAGGTCATTTGCTATCATATTGTTTTGATTATTTTATTTGAAACAAAAATTCATCTCAAAATGAAATGTGATATCATCGAATGATGGAGCTCGCAAAATTCTTTTATTCATTGTGCATTACATATAAACAAGATTAGAAAAATCGAGTATATTGAGTCCATTACCTCATCTGAAAAAAATCTTTCCAAAAAAAAATTGTCTTTTATCTGGAAAAAAGAAAATATAAACAAGTCGAACCGATATACATATATGTGATTCACAATTTCAAAGAACTGATTACTTTTGGTAAACATTTCGATGTTTGACTTCTCAATTCACATTGAATTTTTCGCTCCGTTCATTATTCGTCTCAGTTTGTTATTTTCGATTATACATGTTAATTGTTATTCCCAAATGAATTCAGAATGAGTTGAATGAATTCATGTAAAAAAAAACACTTTAAATAATCGTTCCGATTTCCGGTTTGGCATATCATATCAGATTGCCACTGCGCAAAGTCAACAAAAAAACAAACTCGCTTAGGTAATGCGAATTTAGCAAAATCTTCAACATTTATTAATTTATTAATAAAAACCAGTTATCTGTTTAGATTAGGCAATATGCAACAGTTCATTAAAATTCAAATGAAGAACACATTCCACACGGCTCCATCATTTGAATTGCATATCATATTCAAATGTTTTGATTTGAATTCGAAAAATCGGTAAACGCCCGCAAGTATGCTGCATTTCAACATACAACTGTAATTTTAGCATATTATCGTGAAATCGAAAGCTCCGTACCCGAGGGCAAGCTTAGTTGAAAAAGCTCAAAAGCTGCAAGTATTTGAGCTTTGCATGGCAGCATTTTAATTTGGGTATTTATGGATGAACAACTCAATGACACATGAAAATACAAACAAATCGATCCTATAAAGTGTATATCTATTCATTGAAATCAAATTCCGACATCCAGCTGCTTGTATTTTCTGTGTTTTTGCAATGATAGACGAATAATTTCACTACCCGCTGTCACAATTTTATGTACAGTGTACGCATCAAAGTCGTAAATCAATAAAGTAAATTATTCTGTGTGTAGTGTTTTGGCATGACTGATAAAAATTGATTGAATGTTATTAATCAAAATCAGATTTATTGTGGCGTTTCGAATACAAAACTATCCGCCTATGGCAAATCCAATTAGAAGATTAATTGTTTTGCATTCCATAAGAAAGCAGACATACAAATATTCAATCTCATCATGTGCTACAATTTGACTCAAATCCGATTTTGGATGAACAATTGTACTCAATGATAAAAGAAGCTTAAAATGGTTTCAAAATAAAAACGCAGAAAAATAAATCCGAACAATTCCGTTGAATTCATCAAAAATTAAATGATTCAGTGAATATTGTGTGGAAATTTTTTGCGCTTTTAATTCGAATTCTCGGAACGGATCTGCAGACAAAGAGAGATTTTGTTTCCTGAAAAAGGGAACAATATTCGACAGCAAACGATTAATTTTGGCTGTCATTGGATGAAAAATTGTATCTACAAGTGATTGAATGCATCACAATCGGAACAAATTCCAAGACGTTGACTGGTGTCTTATTATTTTTGTTTAAATATTCAATGGTGATCAGCGTAAAGTCCATAATCATGCCATTAAAAGCAATCAAAATAACTATAATCAGTTGAATTAGGGTTTGAACAGACACACTTGAAAACACTTTGCATCGGTGTCGGATAATTTAAGAAGAATCTCTGTTTGTACTAGATTTAACACTGTTTCGATAAACGAAATGATTGAGTCATTGGTATGTGAACATTTGAAAATATGCGAAACGGTATTTTCGTTGAATTTGACGGTGTGATCACCAATTGAACTTTAAAGTGTTTAAACAACGGCGTTGAAGCACCGTATAAAATGAAGTAAAAATCCATCGTAAGCCGACCTATGGATTTCATAACAAAATCCAATTTGTAAGTTTCAAGTCTAAACGCAAATACCACTAGCTAATTAAACGAAATCAATCCGATTTTATGTGGATATTAACAGCAACAAATTGCTCAGTAATATAATAACATTAAATAGTTTCAGTCTGTGTTGAATCATCAGAGTAAGTAATCTCATGTGGTGACTGAATTGTGTCATATTCACATGCTTGACTTGAATACTTACCATGCAACATGCTTCAACGTTTTTTTTTCTTCTGTTTTGTTTTTAAATCGAATGCATTTTTCATATGCGAGAAGTCTTTTTCTTTTAATCGGACAAAGAAGTAACGACTTGATGGTTCACGTGCGCATGTTTGTGTATTTGTGCTAGATCAGATGAGTTCGATTATTGTGTGAAATACTTGTATTACATATTCTGTGAAATGATGCTGACTCAAGATGTGGGGCGTTTTAAGTGAATTATGTACATATAAACTATGAGCACTAGTTTGCCATTTATTTATTTTTTCGGCTTTTTCCTCACATATGCATGCTCGGCATCGTATCGTGTCGTACTTTTCACACGTGTCAATATATCCATTGCTTTGTACGAGTAAGTTGTGGTGTAATATGCACTTAAATATGTAATTTAGTTCCCTTTCTCGATCACCTGAAACGTACATTCACGATCGCAATGAAGAAAGCAATGTACCAGAAAAGGATGGCGCCAACCACATACACATATACATTGAACGGTTGATTTTTGTCAGATCAGCTCTCCATCTGGTTCATTTCATAAAACCACAAAAGTGTCGAGAATTTGTAAACGATTTTATCGTGGCATTTTTACTTGAACGGTTGATATAATAAAAAGTACTGACATTTTGTCTCATAATACGCCCGCAATCGGTAAATTTTCGGTTTTATCGTGTTGTTTTTTTTGACTCTCTCAAATTACTATATTAGACTCGAATATTGGTTCATTCATTCATTTCTCGTTATAGTTTATTGGTTGTCACTATTTTTGAATTAATAATTTAAAAATAGTCGAGTGCATCATAAAAACGATGATCGAAACGATACAAATAAAAACGTATTGAATACGACATATATCGAAAGGGATACCGACGATTCCTTGAATCAAGTTCGGGATTGTATAGTCGGTGAAAATTCGACCTTGATTCTATAGAATATGGTCAAACAGAATTGTGTCCATAATTGGAGTGAAAGTTAACGTTTCAATTCTCTGCAAAATTCACAAAGCATTCGAGTGTGACACACAACGGTAAAGGTTAAATGTAAACAAATCAAACTGGATAAATGTGATTTCAAAACGACTACTGTTTACCAATTTTTTTTAATCTCAGCACAAATAATCGAAATTTGGTTGTTGCTGTCATTTGCCAAATTTATACGATGTATCTACAGCTATACTCACATTATTTGTTAATGATTGCGATGGCAATTTCTCGATTGTTTTCGCTTTGCGTTAATGTTTTCGACTTTTGTGAATTTCTCCTGTGTTTGCCAAATTTATCCACTCATTAAGATATAGTGTATTTTTATTCATATCACTTGATGATTTTTGCGATCATCCCACGCATCCTGACTCAAATCCACAGTATATACATCCAAATTGGCAAGAGTGACACACAAACTGACTACGACACAACATTCTCGTTAACAAAATGCAAAATTATTTGTTAACGCCGAACGCAAAATGAAAAAAAAATTTATAAACAACATCGCAAATTGGACGAAACGTAGTAAGATCTGTGCGAGGAATGAATGAAGACAACCAAATCAACATCCAAAAGTTATACGCTGGAGAGAGCAAAGTAAAAAAAAAAACAAACAAACAAATATTCTGTAATCCATTTTAGGCAATGTATCATTTTTGTTAAGTTTGTATCTGTTTTTGGGCTGTTCTCGTCATCGTTGACTTTTGTCTCCATATGTTTTGTTTTTGGTTCGTAAAGCGATGAACGTGTGCGCATTTCAAGAAGTGATGATCACAGGTTTCAGTGTAAGTCTGTCATTTGAAGTTGAATGATGTGCATTCAGCTCTCGACATTGAAATCAATTCATTTCCAATGTGTGACGACAACGTTTAACGAAAAAGTGAAATAAAATCGACTCGAAACGAAAAAAAAAACTAATACTAAACGACATTTTGCCGAGCGGCATTTGAATTCAATTCTAAACAATTTGGTGTGAGTGATTTTTTAAATCGAATAAATATACGGTGAAAATAAAAGAACAGTGATTGGAACAGGTGTATATGAACAATCAAAATGGGCAAAACGACTGAACAACGAAAGCAATTGGAAGCGATTTTTGTGCCGAACAAACGAACAAATACCATTGAGTTTGCTGGCGTTGTAGAAAAAGATTCCGAATGCGATATCCATGGAAATCGCCCGAAGAAACGTGACTCCATCTCATTTCCAATTGGCGTATCGAAACGTGAATCAAGCGATAGCATTTTATGGAAACGTGATTCAGTCGATCGAAATGGTAATGGTGACAATGCACACAATGTAGTGCAACGCAGACGCTCTTCGGCCGATAAATCCGAATCAGATGCACACAGGTAAAATTAAAAGTTTTTTTTTTTTTGCATTTGTTTAAATGATTTGAAATCATTGAAAAGATTCGGTTTGGAAAAGACAAATATCGGAAACAAATTAAATGATTTTTTGACTTTAATTGAAATCGTCTCTTCTTCTTTTGCGTTCGTAAAGAAAACGTTATTCATGGAATCCGAGTATGTTCAGAGGTTTGGAACATCCATCTGGTTTTCCATCGATGTTGCGTGGATCGACGCCCGAACCACGTCCATTGTCGCGAAAAGAAAGCTATGGATCAACACATCAATTGCGACGAGACAGCAATGGAGCGTCAACGCCAAGTACATACACGCGTAAAGATAGTTCCGGTTCGACAGCCCTGAATCGTCGCGACAGCTTTGGAACAAACTATTCATCACGAAAAGACAGTAATGGCAGTGTTTTATTGCGAAAAGATAGCAATGGCAGTGTTTTATTACGAAAAGACAGTTCTGATTTTAAATCAAATAAACGCGATAGTCTTAATGATGATTTTCGTCGTTTGAGTTTTGGCAATAGCATTTATTTGCGTCCAGATAGCACAGGTGGAACAAATCTTGTTCGTCGTGATAGTTTGGGTCGCAAAGATTCAATCAAATCACAGCGCATTCCACGCGATTATGTGAGCAAAATTATCGAATACAAAACAAAAACGACCATTAATGGCAATGGCACCACATCACCCGAATGTTCAATTCTACGAAAAACCGATAATGATGCACACACAAACAACAAGGAAAACTTGAATAGCGATTTAACCACCGCAAATTTATCGAAGCATGTTACAATTTGGGAGAAAGATGGCGACGAACAGTCGAATGTGGCGAATATTGTGCATGGTCGTGATTCGAGCGGATCATTGGGCAATTATTTAGCAAATCGTCGCATTTCGGTCGATTCACTTGATATACGTCGCAATTCACGTCGTGGCTCTGCTGCATCGGGCGATATCAATTTAAGATCTATCAATGACGAACCAGAAGAGGTAAAAAAAATAAAACAATAACAAACTACAGTACATTCGTACTCTAACAATGTTGACTAACAATCGGTATATGATGAAGGTGAATGATGTACTCAGAATTGGGGTCGATCACGTTTCCATCTCCATAATGAAAGTGAGGAAAAATTTATGCCTCATACTCATACAATTTCAATTTAATTTCAAAATCACAACTAATTTATGATGTGCACCCGGCCATTTATAAAAAAAAGCAACAATTCAATGAAAAATCGCGAATTAAACGCCGATGAACTGAGAACGAAGAAAAAAATCAGCTCAATGCCTTTTGCCATTTATGGGGCCCGTTAACATATTCGATCAACTGAAAAGAAAAACATTTTCAAGACGCAAAATCATTCGGCGAGCATTGTCGCTTTTGTAGAAGTTTTTTTTTTAGAGAAATGAGTAAACGCCGTTCAAGTAGCAAATATATTAATCGAATCGAGCAACCACGATAGCTATGAGTAACGAACATGGACGTCAGTTCGTGCAATGTGAAAGACACACCAAATGAACCAAATGAAGTGTTTGACTTTTTATTGAATTGAATTTTATTTTCTGAAACCAAATTCAAGTTCGCAGTCCATGATTCGTTCGCAGTGCGTATACATATCAACCAAGAAATAATGAACAAGAAGATGAATAAAAAACAAACTGAGTTCAGGCTAAATGTTTTGAGGTCAAACTGCGTGAAATTTTGCGACTGCAATTGATTGAATTACAAACATAATAAATACCACCATATATAATTAAGCGAAATGAGTTGGCGAGACTGCAAATATCGCATAAAATCTATATAAACCACAATTCAAGCCAATTAATTGATAATAATCAGTTTACCCAATTGTTTCATTTGACTTCCATTTTTGATATGCAAAATACATCAAAGATGAAAAAAAAAATTCATTGCGTTCCACTTGCATTGTTGAACGTCCCAATTACATATTCACAATCACTATATTCCGATATACAATGCTAATTTTGTTGCGTACAATTTGTTCAATAATTGTAATCTCCAAAAACTATACATACGTATGACGTCTTGCCTTGTTCGGTTTAGCAGAAGTTGTTTGCTATTTTGACACAGACATACATAGAATAAACAATCTAATTTGTTTTCTTTTTTTTTTAACTTGGAATATAATTCCTGTTGGTGTTTTGGAATGTAAAAAATCTCCGTCGATAGTACTCTGTGTAGGTGGTATTTAGAAGTCATGACTGACGAAACCATTGTCATAGACTCACATTTATACCAGTGATGATGATGATAAATAGATTTAATATTTCGAATGAAATACAAACGGCGCAATAAATGTGCTTGAAAATTTCCTTTAAAAAATCGACGTTTATTTACAACGCAATTTTTCAATATGTACTATGAACTATCAACGGACAGAAGCAAATTCATTTATAATAATTCGAAAACCGTTAAGTTGTACAAAATTAAACTGTTGGCATTGGATGACAATGTAATTTTACCAAATAAAAACTACGCACCGCACCACACTTAAATTTGAATAGAATTTTGGTAAAAATCTACAAATTTCCTGAGAACAAGCATTTAAAATGGGAAAATTGGTAAAATTAATACCAAGATTAAATGTCAAATTGGAAATAAATAGAAAAAGAATTTAAAATATACCTAATATGCTTTCATACGTTCAAAGAAATAAAAACCTCAATTATCCGAATGTGTTTGCCGAATTAAAATTGAATAACTGTTGAATATCGTGAGCCAGTGAGTTCATATGCCACAAACAAAAGGGCCAACAGATAACTGTTGACGTACGTGATCGATTATTACATTTTTTTTTTTTTTTTTTTTTTTTTTCAAATTGAAATCGATCACCAATTCATGTCCAATATGCCAAAAAAAAATGAGTTTAAGGCAGGCAAATAATTTCGTCGCTTCTTTGAATCGAGATCCAAATGGATGAAAGAGCCTAATGTTGTCACGTTTAACGAGAGTAAAAAAAATATCATAGAAAAAGATTTTGGCCCAAAAACATTTCAGTCGGAATTCATTAATTGATTTCCAATTATGTGAAATGAAGATCGATGAGCGTAAGCTCGCGTGCTCGATCAATGTCACCAAGTGGGCGATGTCTTGAAATCGGTCTCATCTTTCAATGTGCCGCATAGATTTTTCATTTGCGACAACGATTATGGCACGTAAAGAAGTTTAATAAATAACCATAAAAAAATCAACTTCGCGACGAATTACCTTAAAATGAAGACGACACAAATGCTTACCGCGTACGATTACAAGTTAATGGAATCACAAGCAGTTAACCTTACGTAATTAAGACAGAATAAGAAATATTTTGCGCTAAAAAAGTGTTCTTGTTTACTGAGTCGAAACTATAAAAACTGACTGAAACTGATGGTTTTCACGTGCACACGTAAACAAGTGTTTGGCACATTCAAAGTGCTATTAGACCATCATAAACATAGCCACATATTTTCTGTTTTTGTTATTGTTGTTGTTGTTATTTTCAGCGCAAAATAACCGCAGGAAACGGCGTCATTTTTTTTCCTAATTAAAAAAAATCGAAATTTAATTGTTGTTTTGGTTCGATCTATAATAAATGAAATGTTCTTTATGCCCATCAGAATCATGGCAATATTCTAAACGTTTATCGTATGCACGCATCAAATAGCAGGAAGGTGTTTCGATACGTACAGGAATTGTTGTTGAAATTCATTGAAGCGCAATAAATTTGATGTGGGTGAAAAGGAAATAAACAATGTTATAATGTAGTTATTGTCTGTATAATATCATTAAGTTGAACATTTTTCTGAATGTAAGCGCGTGGTCCGTTTCTCTTTCTCTCTGCATGTTCTATATGATTTCATATTAATTCTTTAATTAAAATTATTCATTTTGGTCGACAGATTTATTCAATTTTATTTAAATGAAATTGCATTTGTGAGGCTTGAATTCAGTTGCTTATGCGTGTGTATGTGCCGCACCGTCATTCTATGGCTTTTATTCAACATATACACACATACTTGCTCATTTTGCATGGGTTTCCGTGGCGCGTAAAATTAATTCACACACAATTGATTTCTATTTCGTTTCATTATTTGAAAAAAAAAAACACACACACAGGGAAATTAACATTTGGCCGAATCAGTTGAGTTGAAAGAATTGTGCGTTTACAGCATATGAAATCCATCTGAGCATGCAATTGATAAATAATGCATCGATTTTTTCTGGTCTTCGGTTCTATGTATTTTCGTTTTTATTCCAACTACATCGCGCGCTCTCTCTCTCTTTCTCGGCTAGCACTCTTACTTATGAAAGCCATTCGTTTCCCTTTGTATCGTTGCGTCTCCAGGTTTCTCCAACAAAAATCATCTTCGGATGCACAATCCGCATATATGTGCAGACACAATAAGATCGCATTTGTTGTTGATTACGTAACTCTTTCGCACTTTTTTTTTATTTGGATCTATGCACCATGATGAAGCGCACAATAAAACTCAAATCGAGTCAAAATCGCGACGCGCATACTAATTTTCTTTGATGCTCCACTGACTCTGTAGTGCGCTGACACGAAAAGTACAAGCATTTCTGACGTACTTTCGTGATGCGCATTGCGCTTGAATTCATGGAAGCTTGCTTCGTCTCAAACAAAAAACACAAAAAATTAACCATAATTCATCCGCATTTGATGAATACTTGCATCATTCATACTCTCATGCAAAAAAGTTAAAAACAAAAAAAAAGTGTTAATATTTGTTCAAAGGGCATCTTTTTTTAAATTTCACATATTTTTTGGAATGAGACAATAAAAATCTGTCATCATTTAATATTGTTTTCGAAACTGAAATTTAGACGCTGAATGTCAATACGAACCGAATGTATCAATTTCAACGCACACACACATTCAGTCACGAGTGAATCATTTCAAACGATGATTTAATTGCACTCATAACTACTGGATATTACAATACAGTTGGATGTTAAAGATCTCTTTACCACATATCATTTATCCATCTAATGGCAGTGCATGCCGAAATAAATGAATTATATGCAAAGATGTAGATAAAAATCTGTGCTATTTTTTTCTGTTGCTTTTTGTACCATTTACAACGTTGATGCGAAATGGTTGTGCGAATGTATCTCAGGTGCAATCTCTTATGTAAGTCACACGCGGAATTATGTGTTTGAAGTGTTGTGCTCACCGTTCATGTGACTTAACACCAAAAAATATATTCATAAATCAACAGTTTCAAATAAATGTTGATCAAGTGCCAAACGATGCCTACAGCGATAATAATTCATAAATGCGCGAGTTTGCCTTCTCTTCATATTCAGTTACTGTAAAAGTTGTACATATCGACAATTTTCGACGGATTTTTATGACCATTTTTGGGATTCACTCGTAATTACAATGTGTCCAAGGTGTTGAAATTGAATTTTATTACCCCGAATATTCGCATAATTTAAAATTGTCGGCAATTTTCCGTAAAGATTTTTGATCTGAATTTTATTATGTGATATTGCAATTATCGGCGACCGGTATGCATAGCATACACATATACTCTACGCACAGTGAGTACACAAAAGATTCAAGCGACGAACACTGCGTTCGATGCTATCGATCAATTGATTGGGCCATTGGCTTTAGACGCATTATTCAGTGAAAGTTTTGTTTTACCTTATTTGGAGACAATTTAATCACTCCAATAAACATATACAATACGACAAAAGTAGTTGCTTGTTATAAATAAATATTCAATATCCTTGACTCAATGCAATTTTATGATTTTTTATCGACTCGTCCACATATATGTGCACGAATTGATTTTACGGCTGGAGGCACAGCAACAATAATTTTCTAAAGAAAAAAAGCCAGCGGTGCGCGCACGCACTAAACAGAGAAAAAAACCGCCGATCATTTATGATTAAAGTAATAAATTGCAGCCAACATTGCGGTTTGAAGTGTATGCGGTCAATGTCGCTACTGCACAAA